AATTGTGTGATTGAAATTTATTTTGATGTCAGAGAAATAATAAGAGCCACATATTCATTACCGAAATAGGAAAGTGGAGAAATATAAAGATCTTTTTGGGATGGAGCCATGGAGGTAGAATGTGTGTGTGAGTGTGCCTATATAAAGCACAAAACAAAAAAAAGAAGTAACACAATAAATAAACAAATAAACAAGATTCATCAGTTAACCAAATGATGCACTTACCCTAAAACTTCTATACCAACATCTCTTGCATTGTACCTTGTATATCCCAGGCCTGTGTAATCCCAGACCTACAAGGTCCAAAGTTTAAAGCATTAGGAAAGGTGGGAAAGCAGTGCTGCAGTATGTAAAATCACTAGAGTGATAAATAGCACACAAAAAAAGGTTGTCCTCACCACGCTTTCTAAGAAACAATAGGACATAACAATAAATAAGTATGATAAGCATGACAGAAATGATAAGAATATATATATATATATATATATATATATATATATATATATATATATATATATATATATATATGTTGAGTACTTGAGTTCAAACCTTCTATAACAAACTACGCGAGGACTACTAAGGAAACAAAAGGGAAATGCTCACCTGCATCTTATCAAAAAAAGCATGCCGCTGTTGTTGGACATGCTGCCATGCACCCATACCTACAATGAACAAATGATGACATTAAACGCTTCATTAAGAGATGAAAAATTTATTCAATAATACAGATACGGTGCACTAAACACTACAGGAGGAAAAAAATTCCTCTGTTGCAGTTTGAGCTTCCAGGGTATGTCTAAAAAATCATACTCCCCCTCCCTCCAAAAATTTTCCCCGTTTTCATTTTTGAGATGTCCTAAAACTTTCTTCTCATTTTCCTTGAAAAGGGAATGAGAAGAACATTTTCTTTCCATTTTCTTTTTGGGATGTCCTAATGTATTCTTCTCATTTCCTTTTCAAGGAAAGATTTAGGTAGTGATACTATCTCTCATTTCTAAACTGCACAAGGAATGGTGAAGTTCTAAAATTGAATTTGTGAAAGGAGAAACAAAAAATTTCAAAGTAAAGCAATACCTTTGTAAAATGATATGGTTGCAGGTGTTACAGTGCTGACTCTTGGATCAGGGGGTCCTTCCCCTCCCAAGCAGTCGGTATTCAGTAATGCTGGATTGCTATCAATTATAGCTACACTTAGCATACTTGTCAATGGTGCACTAGCTGCAAGCATAATCAAAATCTTATGGAAAATTTACAAATATATTGGAAAATGGAAATAAAGGTGTTTGTTTTTTAGTTTTGCAAGGAACATCACTGACAATCACTTTTCTTGGGTGAAAAGTTTTCAGATGATCTTGACGACTATTCAGCAATATGTATTCAGATATAAGATATTTATGATTGGTGGATAGTGATTGACACATATGGATGATTAATGACGGACTAATAAATTCCCAGTATAAAATAGAATCACAGTATACGGATGGAGGGGGGAAAGAGCATCACCTAGTGAGCAAGCTAAGGCCATGCCAACCATGCCTCCTCCAACAATAGCAATATCATATTGTGGGACATTACTGTTCAACTCATGCTTCTTCAAAGGCTCCTGCATCATAGAACAGAAAACACGTGAAAAGTGAAAGCGAATCTTAAATTAGAAGTTATGAAAACTAATTAACTTCGGGAGTGTCAATAATTTCTCTTCGAAAAAATCCTTAACGGCTTGGTCCATCAATTTCTCTATACAAAAAAAAATACAGGATGCAATAGCATATCAAATTACTAATTTAAAAAAAGGCAAGGTTTTTTCAGTTAGACTCTTGATTCATTACTTCATATAAGCAAAAGAAGTTTGATGTGACATTTTAAGTTAGTCCATCATCCAACCGAAATTAAAGCATTGTCAACTCTTTTAGCTCCATTGGCAATGCCAAAATAAATACGGAGTATCTGTTGGCATAATGATCATGACAAACATACTCACTCTACCAAAAAAAGAACTTTACAGTTTCCATTTCGAACAACCCAAACTCCACTTCTCATTTTAGGAAATAAATATGTGGCTTCTATCATTCTCTATCTTCAAAATACACTTCAACCACATACTTTTTACTTTTCACCAAATATCTTCCACTAATCATCACTTGTCTTGAATTCCTTGAAACCAGGATCTTTTTTGGGATGAAAGGAGTATAATAAGTCAGTTAAATATGATGATGCACTCTTGAAAGATTCAAAAAATCCTAAATTGTTGTGCAAGTTGCAAAAATTAAAGAATATTACCTTGACAAATTGATCACAATCTGAATCAGGTAAGTTGGAGCCTGAATTGCTACACAACCCTCTTCGTGCAAACTTGAAACTCCTAATGCTAAGAACAGCTCTTCTCGAAACAAGCCTAGCTCGAAAACAGAATGAAAGCTTGAGATCAACCACTAGCAGGTTGAATACCTAAACCTTAACGCAATCATATTTAACCGACTGCAAACAATCCACCCACCCAAGCTGAGCCCTAAAACTACAATCGTCTATTTCTTCATTTCATTGGAAAGGGAAGAAAAATTGTCCAGCAGAATTATTCACCTCATGGACGCTTCAAACCTCAGGAGAAATCGCCTTCAGAGTTGTGGTTTGAATGAAGTAGGTAGAGATGAATCTGTTCGGCTGATAGGAGTGAGTTGATCGGATTTTGGGGGGATTTTTACAGAGCGGTGCAGAGGATGATGGTGGCGAATGAATTCCTTGGAGCACGACAAATCCTAGCTTTAACCTTCGTCAATTGGAAAACAATTGCAATACCCAATACGAGATGCCGGTGCTGGAGAAGAGCTGCCTCAATCGAACGGAGACACAACTGGAGCAGAGCTGCGTCAATCGAAGGGAAGCGCGCGACGACGACCTCACCCCAGACGACGACGGTGAGTTGGAGATGGTTACGACGGCAGATTTGACAGTGACGATAGAGACTGTCTCCTCTTCGTTTGAAAACTAAGGTTTGGGATGAAAATGGATATTACATTGTTTCACAACTCTAATATTATGTTGTTTCGAAATGAAATTAAGATATTCCTAAATAAATAATATAATTCTAATGAACAAATGGATAAAAATAAACATTAGTTTTGATGGCGGATACAGAAGGCTCTAGATCGGTTCTACACCCATATACGGTGGCGGATACACTTTGCATTAGTTGGGGGGCAATTGCCCCCTACAACTTTTTTTTTACTTTGATTTTTTAATTTTTTTTTAGAGTTTTATTATTAATGACCCCAACTAAAGTTCTAAAAACATTAGAGACCCAAATTAAAAATTGAAGACATCAATAGATAGTGTTAAAAGAGAGCAAATGATAAAAGTTAAATATTTATAGATTAAATCAATACTTCCTCTGTCCCATAAAGTCATCCTCGTTACAAAATAATTGCATCTCTTACAGTCATTCCAATTTTTATTAAAAAACTGTTTTTATCTCTTATTGTTTCATACCCTACCTATCACATGATACATTTTTCCTAATAATCTACACATCATATTCTACTTTTATCCATCATATCAAGGACATTTTTGGAAAGTTCACACAAATTTATCCCTTCTTATTTTATAACTTTAGTCAAACTGTCTTTATCTTTATGGGACGGAGGGAGTAGAATATTAATGTGCAACACTAAAAATATATACACATAGTAATAATAAACTAAGTTATAATGCAATACATAAATTAATTTTTATAAAAACTTTTTAGTTTATTGTTTGAATATTTGTTTGAGATTAAATTCACTATTTTTTTTTAATGTTTTGTATTATTTGTATAAAAAAGTTCTGGGGCGCTGCCCCCGAACTCCTGCATGGTGCTCCCTACTCTTTAAGTTCATGTATCCACCACTGCCGATATGCTGGATTGAAATACTGAAAAAACAAATTTGGACTCGAGTTTGATCGGAATGATTATGGATGGGAACACCCGTGGTCAATTGTAATTTAAGTAAGAAAGTATTATAGGCCGGAGCTTTTACAGTGTGCTTTTAAAGAAAAGAAAGTCACAGCCATTCCATTGAGGGTTTACAATAGCATTTTTATCAAGGTTGAGAGTCAAGCGAGAGACATTATCTCGTGTGCCCATGCCTGACCACATATTAAGCTTATGCTCTGCTCCAGAGTTTGAATCTTCATTATCCCTTAGGATTCTGTGATTAAGCTATGTGATATGAAGATATTTGACAGAGGTATAATAAGGTGCCAATACAGTGCCATTAGCGCGCTGTAAGGGAGTGGATGTGAGACAAATATATTTTCTACGCTTTAAAAAATATTTTTGTTTACTGTTCCAAGTTTCCAATAATGTTTGTTTGCGTATTTTTTTATTAGTCATTTTAAAAAATAAAATATTCTTGTCACTGTTTATTTTGTTGTACTTTTGATATAGTCTTTAAACATGTGAGTTATATTTTTATCTGTATGTCAATTTACAAATGAAATCATTTTAAAATATATGAGATTTTACATGTTTTTCTAAACTAGAAAAAGTTTCTTGAGATCTAAAAAGTATGTGTTGTGGGGTTGGGAGCTTGACTACCAAGTGATGTGGTGAAATTGTGAGTTATTTTTGTTAGTTGGAATAAATGTTGTAAATTTTTAATTAGTTGGAAATATTAAAAAAAACAATGAGAACAGCAACACCGTGATGGCAATCACGCCTAGCTTCGCCTTCCACAGGGTTCGTGAAGGGGTGTAAATGAGGGCGGGGAAGCCCCTCCTCGCGCCCCTTAACATGTGGCCTAAGGCTAGAGATTAGAAGCTTAAACACTGTTTGACATTATTTCTAGTGTCTTGAAAATGTCATTGAACTTTTTGTTAGTATTTTCAAAGTTATGTTATCATTAAACTTTATCCAAAATTGTTTAAAGTCAAGCTCGGTCCTCCTGTGTCCCTTTGAAAATAGTCATACTCTGTATAACTTTTCCAAAACAGAAGTGGTCAGTTAAATTGAAAAAGAAACAAAAAAAAAGAAAGTGCTTGTATTTCCAGAGAGATGCACACATGATTATTTACCTGTAAAAATAAATATCAGCTTCAAACTTTTGGACCAAACTTTTACACTTATCTCTCGTATACCCCTTTCCTCTCAATATTCTTTGTTGCTAAAAATGAAATGAAATGAAATAAAAGATTAAAACAAACGGACCCAAACCATCTTCTTCTTCTTCTCCTCCTATCTTTGGGGGGGGGGGGGGGGGCTACTGTTTCTTGCCCTTCCCCTTCTTCAACTTCTCCTGCATTTTCTTCTTCTTCGCTTCTGCGGTGATCCACGTGTAGTTCGAAGGGATTGCAAAGGGGTCTTGAGTGTTTTCCATCTTGCAGCTCGAAGTTGCAGCAGAGGAAGAAGATGATGGTGGTGGTAGAGCATGAGGCTGCTGCTGCTGATAAGGGGATTTCACCCATTGAAACCAGGACGATGAAGGCTGCACCACAACCGGACTATCCCTCCCAGCAGTAGGGGGGCTCGATGGAGGAGTCGAAAACTCGTCCAACGGCTGCAATTCTTCAAACTTTGTGAAAGTAACCATCACCCTTATCGTGGGGACCACCGGAATCGCAACCTGCAACACGACGACACATATCATATCATCGGTCATCTATGCTAGACGGTTTCTGAAGATGAATCACTGTATTATGTTAAGCGTATAAAACTTTTCCTACACCTACTACAATCACAAGCTCAAACTTTTGGTTGAGTTCGTTCTTTGACATAGTAAAAAACTCTTTCCTAAGCCTACCATCATGAAGTGTTTTTGGTCGAGTACTCGAGTCCATGTGTTTCGGCTGAACTTTGAGAGCTTCTCCAAGGTAGGGTGTTTGTCGAGTAACATTTTGGAGATTGTGCGAACAAACAAAAAAAGAAGAGCTCTTCGGCTGAAGGACATCCATGATCGGGGTTTTCAGTCCCAAAAAAGCTTGTCAGCAGCCTTTGTTACATACAGAGTATTTTATTATGACGATTGGACAAGTTCAAAATAACATTTTACATATGTTTCTGAAATTTTTGTGGGACTCTACTGCATTTGTTGTTAATATGTTCCCAACACAGTTTATTAAATACAGCAGGCAACAATCTATGTAATTTGCAAAGTATCACATTTCTGTAAAGGATATTTCATCCTTGAACTGATTAAAACATTCCAAGCCAGTTTAATCACTACAATAGCAAAGGGCAATGGCACATTAGGAACAAATTGTTGAAAGAGCATATAAACGCGGTACCTTAACAGGGAAGGTTCCTTTGGGTAGTTTTGTAGTGAGCAATTCCCTGAGCCTCCGGATGGCCTTAACCTTGTTGGCAAGAATGTCAAGAAGTGGAAGCAGCTCTTCGGTTCTCAAGGGGAAGTCGGGGGAAAGCCAGAGAACAGGCCTCAGCCCTTTCTTGTACTCGCTCTCTTTGTGCCCATCCTTCCGCCGGTGCTCATTGCTGCCAGATGTAGAAGCTTTCGAATCTCTTCTTCGTTGAACCTCTTCCTTCTTCGAACTAACATCCATTGAATGTCTAGCTGGGGACGACCCCTTCTCTTCCACGGATATAGAGGTCCTTGCGGGGGCCACCCTTTTCTCCCCTTCGAGTTTGTTCTCCTTTTTCCTCCACCCATTAAACCACCTCTTCTTCTCCTCCGTCCCATTTCCCTCCTCAACAATGGGAATATCCGTGTGCTCGTAAGAGCTATGGCGGTGTGGAATCGTCAAAGCATCCCCGTTCTCATTGTCCACCTTGAGAGCATCTTCGAGCTGCTTTCTCTCGTCCTCGGTCAATATCTCATTCAGATCCTCGCTCTCTGTTTCGTTCTCATTGCAAGAATTGAAGAACTCGTCGTCCGTCATTGCACCCGGGACCCTTCGGGATTTAATGCTCACGATCACGTTGTGCATGTCGTACACCTTCGCCTTCCATGGACCCACCATCTCCGCCTTCTCAGCCCGCCGCCACGTCAGCTGAGGCATCAGGACCGCTTGGGTGACGTCAATCCCAGGCCGGAATATGTTCGTCTGAGACATCGAGTCAACTTCGTGCTGAACATCAGCCTCCGTGGCAGGAGCGCCCGCACCATCCAACGCGTTCATGATTTCTCTATCCTTATGGGCAACCATACACAACGAGCCGGGAGGGAATTTCCCATCTTCGGAGCCATCGCCGAAGAAAAGAACGCTCTGATCGGAGCGTTGAATCCTGAAGCCATCGAAACCGGCCAGAGTCATGTCGGCCCTCAGATTCGCGCCCCTCTTCCATATCCTGTATGTGTCCGAAGGGGCAATTCTGGAAATGAAAGGAATGACCGAACTCTCGAAATGGAAAGTGATCTCCATGTAAAAGTCTCTCATCCTCCTCATCGTCGCAATCAACCTCGGCAACCTCCTGCACCATTTTGCCCACGCCAGCGGCTGGTAATGCCGGACTATGATCTTGGCAACCCCTTCCTCCTTGTTACATATGGCCTCCTGCAGCGCGCTCCACCCCTGTTCGTTCTGCAAGCTCCAATCCGCACCTGCAAGCATGAGCATTTCAGTGGCGGTTTCATCCCCAAGCTTGACTGCCAAGTGGAGAGGGGTGTCCCGGTTGGGGACGTCCCGTCTGTCGATAATTGCCGAGATAGCATCGGCTTTGCCTTCCTCTGCAAGTGAAATCGATTCGGACTGAACCTCGGAGGGATCACACAGATGAGGCAACCCTGCAATTATCCCCCTCAGGCTCGCATAATCTTTCAAGATTATGGATTTATGCACGGGGCTATGCGCGTATTTCGAAATCTCAAACCCTAACATGCCTCAAGGCCGCCCCGAACCCGACTCAATCATCAAAAGTTCACAGATTTGGGAAGAACAATCAAACCCAGTTGTGAAATTTCACGACCCTCTTCATCTAATACCCGAAAATTTCAAGAATTTCAAAGATTGATCCAGACCCACTTCGAATTGCAGCGAATTGAGACCAGAATCAGCGTGAATCGGGTCAAAGTGCCCGAAAGTAAGAGTCAACGAAACTCACCTCTTCCTCTTCCTCCTCCTTCCTGTTCTTCTGGTCAGCGTAACTGAAACTCGGAAAGACCCGAATTAGATGGGAAAAGAAAGCAAAAAGATTGTATAATTGTGATTGGATCCAGATCAGACAAACTCAAGAAACAGGCATGTGGGTGGAGACAGACTACAAAGTGATGTATACGGGGAAAGATTGAGAATATAAAGAAAAATCGAAAATTTGAGGAGAATCTGGTAAAGGAGATGTACGATCAAAGTAAAGGATAATCAATTGAAAAAATAAAACGCATTCGAGTCAAGCAAACTGCAAATCCGCTTGTGCACAAAAAGAATGAAATGAAAAAAAAACGGGTTTTAAAGTTTTCAAGAAAATAGCAAATCTAGGAAAGTATTGTTTTTATCTTCTAAAAAAATTTTCAAAATGTAAAAATGACAGCGTAATTATAATGTAAACAATGTTAAAAGGGATGGTATGATAGAGTGTGGTGACACTTGTGGTAGACCATCGGCCAACGGTTGTCCACGACGGAGCTCTTGTGGCAGTGTGTCGGTACTCAGATGGCAGTGTAATGTGATAGTGCGTTAGTATGTCGGGTGAGAACGATAATGCGAATTCTTATTTTGATCACAAAAAATACTACTACTTTTTGGTAATTCTTAATTTTTTTTATTAACTTCATGACCCATCAATGTAATATTTATTGAACATTATGATCTCAACCTCTCAAGTGCAAGAACGGATCACAATGCAAACACTAGGTGGAGAGAGGTTTGACTCACTTCCTTCTCACTCATTTTTCCATAGGAGAAGCAATTATTCATATGAAAACATGAGAGTCAGTGTCGGGACAAAGTTTTCTTCACTTAAGCATAAATAATAAAAGGATTAGCCTCATTCTTGAGACTCCTCTTTGAAATAAGTTAGACAGTGTGAAATGAGTTAAACAGTAAACTAAGAGAAGGTAAACTAGGCTATAATCACATATTGACAAACAAAGGATTGAGCATGCACTTGGTACCCACAAAGGTCATATATATTTAACATAGTTACCTCCCATGTAGATCCTTGTTTGGTCTATATGAGTTATTTGGAAGGTGAGATGTACGGCGTTGTGGGACAAAATAGTAAAGAGGCCGCAGGCTGCTGTATGCAGTGGGTGACCGCACTTCGTAGAGAACGGAGGGAGTGTTCAGAGGGGCCCATGTTAGAATCGATGGCGCCTATGGGGTTGACTACGAGGCCAAGTGTTGTTCAATGTCTTACAGACACTACTCTCTTTATGTAGGAGGGCTCTCGAGCATTTGAATGTGTTTTTTTCATTCTAATACTTTTCACGATGTTGTGAATGATAAACTTTTGTGCTCTCATGATCCGATGGTGGCAGAAGTGATGGCGGATAGAGAAGCACTTTCTTGGCTCAGATTGTGTTACGCGGTTACGCCTCAAAATCCGGCTTAGTATTTTTAACTAATTTATATAATTAATTAATTACTGAGTCATTTAATACAAATATTATTTTCTAATTTGTCTTTTGATATGAGAGCTTATCCTACGTTGTAGAGCTCGTTGTTCCGAATTCGACCGCGCAAACAAATCATGAATAAGACTTACCAGGTCCAAGATGCGACTGAGGAATCATGTAATTGGGAGCATTTCATAAATAAGGAGCATTTCTTCTTTTTTCCAAAAGAGAAAAAAGAAAAGGAATTGGAGCAAATACGCCTCGCACATGCCACGAAAAGGGGAGTTACTACTTGCCTCGCCTAACTCAACCATATCAAATCCTATGTGGTAGATCATGGCTATAGAATAGCATGTCATTACTTGTGCTCTAATACCTCGTGACACTTCTTACGCAACCATCCAAGCATAAAAATAAAACTATAGATTATAAACATCTCTTGCACAAATAGATTTATATAAAATAAATAAATTAAGGTTGTAGTTATCATCGGTCCAAAAAGTGGAATCTCCCAAAGGTTGTATTTATCATCGGTCCAAAAAGTGAAATCGCCCACCCCAGACGCCCCCACCCTTTTGCCCGACAGGGATGGTGGAGGAAGTAAATCATGATGACTCAGTCGGCCAAAAATGTTAGACCCGTGCCCACCGTGTACAAGGAACCTCCTCACCCTTTATGGGATTTTTGGATAGCTCCCACACTGTCGCTTGCGGGACTCGATCTCTGGTCATCGGTCCAAGATTTCACGCTCTTGACCAACTGAGCTGCCCATGCGGGCAAGGTTGTAGTTATCATAATATTATGAATGATGGTTATGTACTGAAGCTCTATGAATTACTAAATAGATCTTAAGTTCTACAAATCAAATAAGGTAGTGTTTAGAAACTAGAATTCATTTAAAATATTAGATTTCAATTCCAACATTTGATATTTCATAATTTCAAATTCTAATGTTATTTGGGAAGTCATAAAATTTCAATTTTAATATTTGAATTTTAAGTGCATAAAGACAGATATGGAAACGGATTGATATGTATGAAATTGTTATTAAATAGGAGTTCAATCTTTAAATACAAGTTCTAAATTAAAGAAAAGTTAGATTTGAATTTGTAAATGACATGGAAAGAGGTGTTGATTTGTAGTTGAATTAATTTTGAATTAGAAGATTTTCGTCCAAATTCAAATCCAAATTCTTTGAATTCTCAAACAAATAATTTGGATCAAATCTGGATTTGAAATCCAAATTCATGTTTCCAAATACACCAAGGTAGTGTTTGGCAACTAGCATTTAATTTCAATTCATGTATTTCAATTCCAAAATTTGAAATCTTGAATTTCAAATGACAAGGCAAGGTGCATTTTAAATTAAATTTTGTTATGAATGAGAAAATTTTGATTCAAATCCAAATTCAAAATTTTTATGTTTTCCAAACATAAAATTTGAGCCAAATCTGAATTTAAAATCCAAATCTATGTTTCCAAACATACCACAAAAGAATTTACAATTTTTGAAACGACCATCACACCCATGAGTTAGAAACTTAGACTCTAGAGGAATAACAATAATTTGTTTAAGACTCTTTCTTTCGGGGCCGGTTCTCATAACATTGGGAACCAATGTCATGGGATGACCCGAAGGTGCTCTGGTGCCCCGTTCGTAAAATTGACGGTTCCTACCCCCCTAACCCTCCCGGTAAATCCCCCACCCCGCCCCGACCCGAACACGCCCCCCTCCCACCCCCTCCAATTGCACCCCAAGTTAATTTTGACTTTGGAGTCAAACTTTGACTCCAAAGTCAAAATTAACTTGGGGTGCAATTGGAGGAGGTGGGGGGCGTGTTCAGGTCGGGACGGGGTAGGAGGGTTTACCGGGAGAGTTAGAGGGGGAGGGTGGGAAGGAAGCGTCAATTTTTTGAACGGGACACCGGAGCACCTTCGGGTCATCCCATGACATTGATTCACAATGTCATGGGAACCAAGAGGCTTTCTGTAATCATCTTAATAGTTTTTGGACTAATTGAATGAAAGAATTTTACTGTTTATCAAAAGCCGTCAATCATCGTCATTGTATAAAAGATCTCGTATGGGATAACTATTTTAATTAATCTTATGCTTTTCAAAAAAAAATAATCTTATGGTATGTTTGGGAATTTGGATTTGGATTTCAAATCTAAATTTGGCTCAAATTCCATGTTTGGAAAGTTTAAAAATTTTAAATTTGGAATTGAGTCAAATTCTTTTCATTCATAACAAAGGGCCTGTTTGGGAATAGCGTTAGCGTTTTGAAAATGCGATCTATGGCCAGCGTTTAGCATTAATTTTTTCAAAGTAACCTGCACCGTTAAAATTTTATCCAAAACGCTAACGTTAATCTCTAGCGCTATTCCAAACAGGCCCAAAGTTTAATTTGAAATTCACGATTTTAAATTTTGGAATTGAAATGAAATGTTAGTTGCCAAACATTACCTTGACTTATTTGGTAAATTTTTAATGATGTAAATTTAATTTAAAAAAACTTAAAATTAATAAACATTCTCGTGAGATAACTTTCTTAAAAGACAAAAGGGCACAAAGAATAATTGGTAAACAACTATATCATATATGCCTACTATTACAAAAAAAATGTTAGAAACCTATCATGTTTGACAACAAGAATTTAATTTGATGTCAAGTGTTTCATAGTTACACACATATAATATTATTTAAGTGTCATAGATAATGACTACATGTATCTGTTTGTGAAATACTTAGTGTCAAACTTGATGGGTTTCTAGCATTAATAGTACTACGTATTAGAAAACCGTCAAAAACATTCAATAGAAAACTGTGTTGTTCAAAGTAAAATATGAACAAGTAGAGAATATCTTTTGAAGGAGGTAAAGGTATATGATTGAATTAAAAAGTACTCTATATAAAAAGATTAAAGACTACTCCGTGTACCAAAAGAAAAAAACTACTCCCATTTATCTCACCATATGTCACGTTAACAATATAATGTGGTAAATTGCTAAAACTCATGTAGGATTAAATTATTCGGTATAACTTTACCCCCAACTTTAAGATATTCTATGTTTATTTTTACATACACTTTTCCTTTGTTAATGATGAGGTTGAAGCTAAATTCTTAGTGATCTTAAAATTCATAATCATTTTATGAATTTCATGGTCATTGATATTATAAAAGATTGAACTTTTTGCAAAAAATAAAAGATTCACCTCTAAGCCCATAAAATGAATGAGAAGATCCATTTTTTACATGTAAACCTTAGAATCATTGATGAATATCTCGAGATTGAAATGAAGGTACATCGTCCAAAGTCAAACTAGCATATTTGCACTATGAGAGAGGTCGTCTAAGCCCATGTTCTTTTCACCTGAGCTAAATGGTTCTCATCTAATTGGAATAAGTTCTTATCTAATCTAATCTAAACGTAGTTATATTTAAATCTATTTCTGATCTATTCTAGTGTGATCTGATCTGAACTGATTCTAACAAAAAAAGTAATACTTCGTAAGTAACAAGAATAAGTTGAAGAGAACATGACCTTGTTAGTTCCATGGTGTTAGCTAATCTTTTGGCAAAATAGAATCTCATATTTGTTAGGTGTTTTACTAGGTAGAAACCTCAATTTGTTAGGAGAGATTTATTTTATTTAGACTTCTAGAGTTGCTGCAGTTTTCGAGGTTGACACAGAAGATGCTACAGCACAGTGCTGCAACACACTGTTCGGGATCAAAGGTCTGAGCACGGGATTTTAAACTGCAATCTAAATTAGAGACCTACTGGGAGTGTGACTACATGATAATAACTCCAGCTGTACTTGTTAAGGAATCTCAACTCTTTAGGCTACTTGTTGATCAAGTTTAAGGAAGTTGAGTTCAAGCCAACTTCTACAAACCTATTCCTACTAGGATTGTGTTGAGAGAAGCTTATAAAAACGCAGCAGGTCCCTGAGAATTACTTAGAGCGATTGGGAGGGAAAACAAAGAATATATGTTGATTTAGAGCGTTCTCGTTGCGTCCTGAAACTTCCCTTGCGTGAAGAAAGTTACGATCTACATGGAGGAAATCTTCAACGAAAAATAAATCGTGACAACGAGGAGATGAACCAGAGCTTAAGGAGAGGGCTGCCAACATGTTTGTCCTCGTGATCTCGGTGGATATGTGATAGCCAAAGCGGATCTGTACAGGGTACGGGTTAGAAATCCTAGATTAGAAGTTTTGTCATAACAATTCGGAGAAGTGTGTCTTATCATGTTGTTATGTACCGGTGTAACTTGCATCTAGTGATTTAGTGGAGGGCTATTACACGGACATGGGCACCGCAGACTAGGAGACTTCTCGGAACTGCGTAAACATATCTGGTGTTATTTTTTTACGCATTTTATAGTTACAACATTCTGTCCAGTACGAGTTGTAACGCCCTCTGCATCATCTGCTTCTGTGTGCTTGTGACAGAGAAGTGTTATAGCACATTGTCTGTCATCTGTTACTGTGACAGTGCTGCAGTATCTTCTCTGCAGCATAGTTGGTTGATTTGTTTGCATAGCTCTTAATTGGTGATTTCCGCTGCGCCTCCATGAACTTACAGACCTAAGACACCTAGGTCATGTTCTCTTTACCTGATTTGATTCGAATGAGTTCTGATCAGATCTAGTCTAATCTGATCTGAATGTAGTTATATTTAAAATATTTGTGATTTGATTTAATCTGGTCAGATGTGATTCTAATAAGGATAAGTAATAAGTAAAAGAAATAAGTTAGTGAGAACATGACCTTACTTCTCCAAAAAAAGATTCATCATTTCCTTTGTGAGATGTTCCAAAAAAAGACATCTATTTCCAATTTTGACAATTTTTGTTAGGCCGAACATATTTCTCTCTTCTCGGTATCACTCTTAGTCACACATTTTTATTTTTGTTAAACTTTATGCCAAACCCAATTGAGACGCTTTTATTGGGACGGATGGAGTTCTCCCTTCATCCCAAATTAAACTCCTTGTTTATCATTCATATAGTCAAACTCCGTTTACTTTTTTTTCATATTTTTGTTAGTCATTTAATAAAATACTTCGGGGTAATATAGTTATGTCGCTTCTTGTTTCGTATAATTTACATTTAGTTTTAAAATGTGTAAATTTTATTTTTTTAGCTCCACCCAATTTTCAAATAAATTTTCTTGTAAATAATTTGATTCAAAAAATCGTAAACTAAATATGCAATTCAAAATGAAACAAAGAGAGTATAGATGATACTGAGTATAAATTAAACTATATATATATATATATATATATATATATATATACATACACACACATATACATATATTATTTGTATAATTAAATTTATATTCCGAATATATTTTTCAAACTCATGAATCGAATACCCTTGATTCATATTCGTATTCGATACGGATTCGAATATTTATTCAGATTCGTATTCGTTTTCATATTTGAAAAAATCGAATACGAATCACCTCATACGAATACGAATCACGAATCGAACAAAAAATATTCGATTCATTTACATCCCTACTCGGCATTTATAAGAAAAGAGTATTTCATTATTATATGGAGTATTTTTATTTAGAGAATAGAGGGTATTATACACCCTATATAGTGTGTGTATTTCCCCCCAGTAAAGTAGGTTTTACGAGCCTCCATATCCTAGTTAATATCAATTACAATTACTAGTTGATATGCTATGGAGAACCAAGGTCTCGACAGTGAGGCCCGGCCCAAATCCAAACAGGACTCCCCACTCGAGCCCTTCACCGGTTGTGCTAAGCCCATTTTCCACCGAGGCCTTTCTCATTAGGTCCAAAATGAACAACACAGAAGCACTAGACATGTTTCCATATTCACTCAACACTCGTCTCGTGGCCTGCAATTTCTTGGGCTTCAGGCCCAACTGAACTTCAACTCGGTCTAGAATTGACGGCCCACCTGGATGAGCAATCCAGAAAATAGAATTCCAATCTGTTATTCCTAGAGGCCCGAAAGCGTCCTTCAGAATCTGGCCAATGTTCTCAGAAATGATTGAAGGGACATTTTTCTGTAAGTGGAATGTCAACCCTACTTCACGGAGGTGTCCTTCGATGGCCCCAAAACTGTCCGGTAAAAGAGTTTGGGCCGCGGAGACGAGTTCAAACAAGGGTCTTTCGGTCTCTGGTATTGGGCCTGCTCCAATAATTACAGCCGAAGCCCCATCTCCGAATAGGGACTGCCCTACAAGGTTATCAAAATGAGTCTCATCTGGGCCATGAAACGTCGATAAGATCATCTCCGAGCAGACAACAAGGGTTCGTGAGCCCTTGTTGTTCTCGGAGATGTCTTTAGCCAGCCGGAGGACTGGAGCACCCTTGTTGGTACATCATGAACCTCTTCACGGACGGGTTGAGTCCTAAGAGGTTGATGAGACGATAGTCGATCCCGGGCATATCCACGCAGGTCGTGCTACATACAATCAGGTGGGTGATCTTGGACTTGGGCTGGCCCCATTCTTTGATGGCCTTTTGGGCGGCTTCTTTCCCGAGTTTTGGAACTTCCTCGGCCACCATCTTTTGTCTAGCATCCAATGATGGAGCCATGTATGCACACATGTTAGCGTTCTCCTTTAGGATTTCTTCTGTTATGTGCATATAACGCTTCTTTATCATTGACTTCTCACCTGTAAAAATTCATAGCTCATATACATATGTAAAAGTTATCACATTTCACATGAGTTATATTCGATTGTCTAATTTTAACGACAGATTTTTCTAGAACCATCTCGGTTGTTTGTCAAAAGGTCATTGAATTAAGTTGTTTATTTGTTAGTGTTGGTTCTACGTCTGATTCTTTAAAACGGGTGGCAATGCCGCCAAACGTGTATTTGTACTGTTTTGCGTAAAGAATCAGACGTAGAATGTAAACAAATCCACTTCACTTCCTTACTAGAATGTTTAACTAAATACTTTCAAAATTGAATACTTTAGTGTCATTTTCATGACAGCATTTTCGAAAGTGATATCATAAAGATGTCATTTAACTATTCTGTTTTGTCACAAATGTCACTACCTTTTTAGGAAGGGTAAGAACATCTCTAATCACACTTGTTAAGCAAAATTTGTTAAAGTCATTTTTTTAGCATGTAAGTAGTGGTATAATAAATCATTTTGAATAGGGAATAGTTGTAGTAGCAGTACAAAATCTTACAAATCCGTTTGAATTTCGCTTTAAGCTCGGTCATATGGTCGCTGTTGGTGATGCAAAAATAATAATCAGGGTAAGTGATCTGGTCGACGCAGGCGGATTGGCGGTGCCGATGGCCATTATTGTCGCCGGACCCTCCGCGCGCTGCGCCTTTCTCACCTCCTCCACCGTCACCATCTTCTCCGTGCAGCTGGCCGCCGGGGAAATGTATGTCGATCGCCGCCTGAGTGAACTCGGTGCGGCAATTGTAAGGAAATTAATCAATTGACTCCAAATGATTCCAAGCTAGCCAACATATATGTCTGTCTATATATATACTCCATCAGCATTTCGGTTTCCCCTGCAAATGCAAATCTTCAATAAATTCCGAACTTGGTTGGGCCTTTCACATTTGTTCATAGCTATTTTTTCAGGATGGGTCATTCATGTTCCACTATGTTTATTCATTTCCAACATTTTGTATATCTAACTACCTTCTTTGAACCTACAATTAGGCAATATTTGTTGGAATATTTCACCAAAATTTTCAAATTTAACTTTTTACAATCAACTTTGATCAACTTTTGATCTATAATATAAAAGAAATTGATCATGCTATGACAAAAACATATATAGACTATATAGGGGTGAGCATGAACGTTGGTTTCTCCAGATATTTCGGTTCAGTATGGTATTTTAGATCGTAACGATCTCGATCCCGAAGTATCGGTTCGGTATGATTCATGATGGTTTGGTTTCAGTTTTGGTAAAATATTGTGATGAATTTATATGCGTACCTAGTTTACACTTTAAAATTTACAAAACTTTTTATCTAAAAAAATCAAAAGTACATTGAAATAAAGAAAGATGAACAATTGAAAAATTAATAATTAAATACAAGAAATACTCATAAAACTTAGTTTAATTTATACTTCATATTAAACAAATAAAAAAGAACGACCAATAACAAAATAGTATTTCAAATGTTTGTTAATTTTTTATATTCACCTATGAAAAATCAGAATTCAAATAAATGATTATTTAAATAAAATATTATTTGTAATTCATCTCCACTTGAACCGGCTTTTCAAATAAATTTTGTTTAAATGAAGAAACATAAAAAAATTGTTATTTTTATACTCCGGGTAACATATTTGTATATATATGTTCGGTTCGGGATTTTTCGGTATTGGAAGTTACCTCGTACCGATCCCAATGCCGCACCGACCATTCGGTTTGGTACGGTATGGTTCTTTTTCAGTATTTTATCGGTTTGGTATTTTTCGATTTAGTAATCTTGGTCTTTTCGGGAATTTTCGGTATCGGTTCGTTACTTGCTCACCCCTAACACTATGTCCTAGTGGAAGGAATAATGTCTAGAAATGATAGACTTAATTTTTTTGTTTCCTAAATATGACTTATTAATGTCCTAGTGGAAGGAATAATCCTTTATTATAATATTTGAGACTCGGGCTCACAGAATGTCGACATGTGGCGGGTCTACTTGGCAAGTTTTTTATGAGTCATCCTCCACCTTTGATGACTTTATTGACTTGGCACTTTTATATTAAAATATAGAAAGATCCAATTCTAATTAGTATGCCTAATATATACTTTATAAGGCGACTAAAATATAATTACGAAGTAGAAAAATAAGAAATTAATTATGAGTAATTTTTAAACTTTTTTCTAATGTATTTTGATTATTTATAATGAGTGCAATGTAAAAAAGCACCATAGTTCTTTCTATTATTTATAATATATGTTTAATTTATTTTTTTATGTAAATTAATTATTCCATTGAATAATCCTTTATTATAATATTTGAGACTCGGGCTCACAGAATGTCGACATGTGGCGGGTCTACTTGGCAAGTTTTTTATGAGTCATCCTCCACCTTTGATGACTTTATTGACTTGACACTTTTATATTAAAATATAGAAAGATCCAATTCTAATTAGTATGCCTAATATATATACTTTAGAAGGCGACTAAAATATAATTACGAAATAGAAAAATAAGAAATTAATTATGAGTAATTTTTAAACTTTTTTCTAATGTATTTTGATTAATTATAATGAGTGCAATGTAAAAAAGCACCATAGTTCTTTCTATTATTGATAATATATGTTTAATTTATTTTTTTATGTAAATTAATTATTCCATTGAATAATAATAATACGTTTAAGTTAGAACAAATTGAAAAAGTAAAAAAATGAGAAAGACTATTATAGAAGTAAAATATAAAAAAGTATCAAAATTACTTATTTTGACTTCTACCTCAATACTTCTCCCTCCTAACTATTACTGTCATTTGAGTTTGCTCTCATCTTTTTTTATTGTCTAATCTAACGCCTAACATTTGATAATTTTAAAAATAATTAAAATTTTGATTCTAGGCATTTTTTTAACTAAGAAAATTACAATATCCAAAGTGGACACTTAATCATAATGTTCAATAGAGAGAGAATCATGAGTGTGTCTTTGGTGCGCCTTGAGTGTATATCATTTTTTGTGGACCTTCTCACCTAAAAAAATATTTTGTTTTAATTTTTTTATTTATAAAAACAAATGCTTAGTAGGTCCACGGTAGACCTTAAGTCCACCATAGAATTTGTCGAAAATCATTAATATGTTTAAAATGAAATTCATAGATTGAAATAAGACTTTCAATGTGTTAAACCAACGAAAATAATTGATATAATTGTATTGTCAAAAAATGTAAAAGGGATTAATTTTAGAATTATTGAAGATATTTTTTGAAAAAATGTATACCCAATGTTGACTACTTAAGTACATTGTTTTTTGGAAAACCTAATATAAATAAATAACTTTAATTATTTTAAGAAAATTATACTACATCCATCCCATAAAACTTTTTAAATAAAAAGAAAGG